CTCTTTTTTGAAAGTATGGAAGTATAGCATGTCTCCTAGAGAGCCGTCAGTTAAACTGGGACAGAAAACTGGAATTTTGTTCTGAAGAACACAAAGAAAATCAGAATAATCATGTCTAAACTACAATACATATTCAGATCAAGCAAATTAATTTGAAACAAAACATAAATTGATAACAAGTGCAGCCATTCTCATTCTTTGAAAACTACATTTTTCCAAAACTAAGGAACAGTTCAAAGTTGAGCATTCCGGTACAGGGCTGTATATTCCTAATTCCATGTTACAAATTAAGGAACATATATTGAAAAGATGAATATATAGGAACTAAATTCAAAATGTTACCTTGTATGCCCAGTATAAATATGAGCTCTCATCATTAATTTCTCTGCCCAAACGAGAAATAACTTTAGATGGTGTCCATAATACACCCTGCACAACAAATCGATAAACGGTGTATAATTCTTAAAACAGCAGTAGGAGGTAAGAAAATGACATACTTACCCATATCAAGAAATGAAAATAAGGCTCTCAATTGTAAGGAATTAAATATTGAAGGTGGTGAAGGAATTAGGTGAAGATTTAAGATTTATATTGTAAGGACTTCACCAAGATGCAGCTTGTTTGAAGGTGGTGAATAAAATAAGCTGCAGTGCTGCACAATATTTTTTCTCAACAGAAAACTCAACAGAAAATTATTGTGTCAAATTAAAAAAGACCCAAACTAGGCGAAGAAAACAACTGATCCAAACTAGACACGAGTCTTTTATTGGATAATATGTGTGTGCACCATAAAAGACAGAAAGAGTAATACCTCATTGATTTGCTCTTCGTACATCTGATCTAAAATTGGGATGACCCAGTCTTCAAATTTGCAATAATTGTCATTGGGAACCAACAAGTTACCAATACGGTTCAATCCCTTAGACCGTAGTACAGCTCCAGGCAAAGAAAAATCACCTTTGTAAGTTGGTGCTAGACATTTTATAAGGTCTTCCTCAATACCACCAGCTGTTGTAACCACTACATCAACCTGCAATCAGATATGGTGATGCATTATTATCACATTAAGCACTATATATAATATGTATAGAACGAGCAATTCTAAGGAGACGAATTTTTTTAATACACTGGAAGGGAAGGAGTAAAGCCTCAAGTCTAAATAATATCGGAGTAACAAGATAACATATGTATAAGAGCAAGTGCCCGTTTGGTAACCCATTTTTGACTTATCAAATAGTTTTCCACCTGACAATTTTTTTATTTTTTATTTCACAGGCTGAATTTGAAATAACTAAAAGTAAAGCTGGAAATGCTTTTCTAGTTGATTTTGATGAAGGGAACAAATTTAACATTTTTCATACTCTTTCTTTAATTTATTTATCAAACTATTTTAAATACTCCCTCTGTCCCCGAAAGAAGTTCCCGTTCGGTTTACGATGCTTGACTGACGATAAAGCAACTCAATCCCTGTTCACACCTGGATTATTTTTAGTAAATAAAATTTTTATATTCAAAAACTACATTAAAACCGCTACAAAGCCTGATCAAGAAAATTTAAGTTTGATAAAAATTTGATATATAAAGTAAAGGATTAGGAGTGACTTAAGTTGACCAATGAATAGTGACCGGGAACTTCTTTCGGAGACGGAGGGAGTATAATTATTGCTTAATTCACCAGACTGCAGATTCAGCTAACTCAGGTTACTCAGCCATTTCAACCATAACTTCACCAAATTCAGTACATTCCGTAGATTAAGGCATTAAGCCAATTTAAGTGTTACTGGACTAGCTCTAAACAATACTCCTGGGAGGCAGTGAATCCTAAGGGACTGATTGGTTGAAGAAAAATAGCTACTAATATGGTTAGTAGTTTAGTACCACTAAAGTACCTAAGGAACTTAATAGGGAAAATTCCCAAGATAGGAGTAAAAATGTTTGAGAATTCCAAAATTGGACTGCCATGTTTTTTTATTCCCTAAATAGGAGTAATTATTGTCAAGCTTGAGAAATACTGACATGTTTAAAGTCTGGTACTGCCAAAACATGGAAGTAATTACTCCTATTTAGGTAATAAAAACACGACGGCCCTATTTTGGAATATAGGTACGTTTTAATCCTATTTAGGGTAATTTCCTAACTATATATTACTTCGGGTGGTAATGTGATCAACATTTTTTAGGCTCTTTTTATTATCACCCTCAATAAATAAAACTATTTTTGCATTTTATATGCAGCAAGCCCTAGCCACTTTACACAACCCTGAAACTGCTATTGTTTCACAATTTCCATTGAATATATATTTTTTAATGTTTTAATGTTCTTCTTTAAATGTTATTCCTTAAGCATTTGTCACAGTCAGGCATGGGCTCAACATATATCTATTAAAAGTAGACCTGCACGGAAGGTTCCAGAAAAGCAAATGGTATTAATGTTTTAAGCTTTGACCTCAAAAATTACTCACTACAACTGTGCTTTAATGTTTGGGAAAGTCTATGGAAGGTGAAGATTGAAGAAAGGGTGAGTGTAAGCATTTGCATAGTACTAGAAACTTTTTAGTAAAAAGATGGAAAGGGCAGTTAAGTATTTGCACAACAGCAAAGATTAGTATATCATTTAAGACCTGAATGAATAAGCACAACTAGTTGCAACCATAATGTGTTGATTTTTTATACAAAGGAAAGGTTTATGAATATGGATGATATAAAAACATACAGACCAATGACAATCAATTGGTGGTAAAATTATATGGTGAATAAAAGAAAAAGGACAAATGGGTTTACCAAGTGATTGGTGAAGATGAATTTTTGTTACTGAAATATGGAAACTTAAGCAAGTAGCTTCTCTTGATTTGGGCACCACACTCACCATGTGATGCTGAACAAGATAACGGATCGTGTCTCGAACACCAGAAGAAACAAGGTTGGAAGTGAAGCCTAAGAAGATTTTGCACCTCACAGATTCTCTATAAGCAGGATCTTTCTCCTCGTCATTGCAATCTTCCGGTAGAGGTTCATGAGAGAGCCTCCAATCAAGCTTCACACAATCAGCAAATTATAAATAAATGATCAGGGGAACGTGTAATCAACTTTCCAAATACTTAGAGAATGAAAGAACACATATAGCATGGATTCTCTTGCTCATTACGCTTTTGGTTGTAAAATACTATCCGTATTAGAAAGGGGGGAAACCTAAATTGTGAACAATACATATTTGATGCCATGAGGTTTGACCTAAGCAGATTCTAGGACAAACAATTGAAAAGGGGACACCCAGTTACGAAAGAAACCATTTCATTAACGATTTGGATGGCTTCTCCGAGGTTGGATGCTTGAAAGCCAGTGGAAAGCAGTGACTTCAGTAGCTGAGGGTAGTCAACGCCGCGATTGAAATCGTAGCCCTCGATTTTCGTGCAGGTGCCGTCAAGGCTCTCTGATTTCTTGAAGACCACGTCTCGTACGGAATCCATAACTCTATTTGGATCAGTCGAGGCTTCTCCCATAGTTTCCGACAGGGAGTGATTGCAGCAACTGACGTGAGACGTTCAGCTCTGCTAGCGCATGGCGGAGAAGAAAGAAATTCCAAATCGCGTGTACGCTGTACTTTTTTGTTCTGATCCGGTCTTATGAGGTCCGCTCTATGTGGTCTGGTCTACTTTTTTTTGAAACAATGTGGTCTGGTCTACTAGATATATACTCATCGTTTAAAGTGGAAAGGTATTCACTTCCTTTTTTTTAAAACAATTAATAATCTTAAATGTCGAATTAGACGTTAACAATTTTAAATGCTAAATTTATTGTTGAAGTGTGCAATACTTAATATTCAAAGTGCGAATACGATAAGTAAAGGTGCACATTTACCTCATTAAAAAATTCAGAGTTAATTATGCATATAGGACTAAAAACCGGTCCGTTTGCACAAATAGGGAAAAAAATAAACTATGTTTCATAGGACTAATTACGTGTGTCTTGGACAAATACACACTTGTAGCTACTGAATTGTTTTAATTCATTGTAAAATAATAAATAATAATAAAAATTCGTAAAAATGACACATGCATTAAGAATGCCATATTTATAGTAGATTCAATGAAAATCTTGGCATTCTCTAAGAATAATATGCCATTGTTTTTGGCATTTTCAGAAAAAAGAATGGCATTTGTTTTAGAAAAAAATGACATTTTTACACCGGTCAGAGGTGGTGGTACAGGGAGGTAGTACATGCGGTGAGAAAGACATCCATACTTTTTTTTAAATTTTTTTTTATGGATTTTTACAATTTTTTTTTAATAATTTTTTTAAATTTTTTATCATGACTTATACTACCTTTTACTCAAATTTAAAAGAGGGATAAGAATAAAAGGAAAAATAGGTATGTTTTCAAAAAGAAGTAATATGGTTCTACTTTGGAATAAAAACAAAAGATGTCATATTTTTTATTTTTGCCATAGTTTTATCCCTATTGGGGTAATTTATGAAAAATTTACAAATTAATTTTTGCACTTCTTATTTTATATCGAAGTGTGATGCATTTTTGTGTTAGATAGACTTTTTCTCCACAGTCATGCATATTTATTACTTTATTTTTCAAACAAATTCCTAACATTTGCATTTTTGTCATTGCTATTGTTACTTTAAAATTGGGTTGATCCACTCATTTTTTCATTTTAATGACTAAGATTACTTTTCATTTTTCATATAAGAGCTACTTTGTATTTGAATCTTCCTCCACCGATATATATAGATACGTATGTATAGAGTACCGTTAAAATATGTTCTTATTGAACTTTTTGATAAAATTTTGTGAGAATATTATTTATGAAAGTATATATTATGTTCAGAATCCGCTTATTGAGATTATTTCAGTTGAAATTTTTTGATAAAATTTTGGGAGAATATATTATTCATACGTATAAATTATGTTCAGAAAATTTGATTTGAGCTTTAATTTCAAACCGCAAGTCAAGTTAAATATAATTACGCAGTATATCATTAGCATAATCTTTATCACTAAAGCTAAAAGCATTTCCTCCTCGCTAGTTCACTACTTCCTCAACTAAAAACTTGAGAAGTTGAGAACAAATAGAGCCATGGCTGCCGCTGAAGCTTCAATTGAGGAGCTAGAGCTTTCCGCTCCGCCGTGCCTGCATACCATTTCCTCCTTCCTCGCCATGGAACCACCTGACGTGATCATCTCCTTTGCGAGGTAGCACCTTCCCTGCGAAGCTGCGCGTTTTAGCCAATACGCATGTCACATTTCACTATTTCAGTTGTGTCGTTTAACCATTGTCAGGGATTGCGGCAGAGGATTAATATCGGAGAGAGTACAACACTTTATTTGGATTCACTGCATCAATAGAACTGTACGTTATAGGAAATTTAGACTTTCTTAGTTTCTTTCAGAATGGTGCCTCTAATTTTTAGTAGAGGAATGTTGCTTCTAAATTTAATTGACAGGATGTTAAGCCTTACCCTCCTTACTTGAGAAGCTTTTTGAAGAAGCTTATTTTTGAAATTGAGTCAAGTGGTGAAGTTGTAATTGATGAGCTATATGAGAAATATGTATATCAAACGTCTGTAAAGGTAAACTAGCATGTCTTGCTTGATGTTAAATTTAATAGAAAGATATTTTTTGTTATTATACTTGATACTACGTATATTTTTTATTTATAGGGCAGCGTGTCCATGAAAGAGAATGAAAGTTTGTCAAAAAAGATTTCTTTTCTTTTCCCTAGAGGTGAATGTTTTATTTCAGTTTGGTTTCACTTCATTTCCTGTGGTTATTATAGATTTAATTTCTTAAATAAGTATAGGTTATGGATTTTGACTGTGTTTCTGTGTCTTTAGACTGTTCGAAATTGCCAAGTTGTCCAAAATCAAGGAAGTTAGAAGTTTTGCTGCATTGCTCGGTCAACCTGCTCGAAGGAGATACAGGGTATGTATTGCTGCAAGAAGTCGATTATGGTCCACTTGATGAAGGGGACTAGATTTTTCGGTGTTTAAAATATACGTAGTACGTAGTATATGCAGCTCTGCAGAAATGGAAATTGCTATACAATGTACATAGTTTTAGCTAACCATTCATTTGGGATTTGAAATTCATTTTATGATTGGCCTTCCAAGAAAAACAATGATGACCTTTTTCAACACATATGGGGTAATGGGGGGTTTCATGAATGTTGAAAATAGCGAAAGTGCTTCTGAGAACTAAAATGAATGGGATGATACGGTAAATGACTGGTTTTCTTGCTGTAATATACTTATTCCATTTCTATTATAAATCTATGACTAGTTAGTTGTAGCAGTCTAATCAAATTGGCTTTCCTAACACTTTCTTCAAACAGGTGTTCAATTTGGCCATCCAGTCTTTTCCTTTCAGAGTTCATACTTTCTTTTCCAGAAATATTTACACATAAATCTTGTTTTGAGGTGAGAAGTAGATCTGTATCTTGTAGTCTTGTTACCTCTATTTTTCTTAATCTGTTGGCCATCAGGTGGCAGTGCAAAAGGTTTCAAAGCCTGCCATAGTGCCATGTCAATGGTTATTTTACCCAGCATCATCCGGAAATTCTTTTACCTGAACTTTTTCCATGCCATGGTGGGGTCTACCAATTCACAATTGGCTAATGCGTAATGGATATGAAGAATGTGACAAGTGACACACATAACAATATTTGATCAATCTTTTGGGCCTTTGTGGGACATCAGTATTTATACGTGTCACCTGATTAGGTTTCTAAGTTAGTATTGCGGCGAGGAATTATCTTCCAGATGGCGCGTAAACTAGAAATTTGAGAAAAAATGTTTATAATCCTATTTTTCTTGGAAGGTTTTCGTGACTGCAATCAATAATAAAGGTACTCATTGTAGCTTGACAGTGTTTTTCTTTATTATGAAGAAGTGCTTTGTAAATTTACAACAATAACGCCATAAAGATAGAGTTTTGAGCACGTTTAGGTGAAAAAGATTATGTCTGTTACGGAGATGAATTGCACTCAAATGCTTACAATTAGGGAGCGATACGTGTAAGTGAGGGATCTATATCTCCATAATCAGGCCTGAAAGTTTCAATTTCCCAATGTGTGTTACAAATATTTTGTTCAAAATTCAAATAGCATTTTTCTAATGGAATTCTGATCAAATAAATTCTGCAAGCTGTGCATTTATTTACCTTCTGTCAATAACAGGTTGGTTCAGGGGTTGGATTAGTTGGCATCTGTCTAGCCCATGTAAAAGCCTCCAAGGCAAGTCTACTGTGTCTTTTGCTGTATCTTGTATTTTCAATTTCATCAGAATGAAGTTTATAATTGAGAATCCAAATAAAATACCTGTGCAGGTGATACTAAGTGATGGTGATTTGTCGACTTTAGCAAACATGAAGCTTAATTTGGAATCAAACAAAATTACTGCCAGAAACCATTCCTTGGGTCATACAGTAGATCCTAATACAGTGAGTTGATATCAAATATGGAGTACTACCTTCGTCCCGCATGACATTGCCAACTTTAAGTTGGGTGTGAAATAATAAAAGTAAAAACTACTCCGTATGTGATTGAGATTTGTGCAGAGAATAGAGAAATAAGCTGAACCACAAATTCATTACTTTAAAAGGAAAGTGTCAAGCATTTGGGACAAACAAAAAAAGTTGGCAAAGTCCAATGAGACGGAGGGAGTATAAATTTTGTTTCCTATCTACCTTTTCATCTCTACAACTGTTGGGTCTTTGCCCCCTTCAAAAGCAATCAGCATACAAATTATTCATGCTAAAAAGTATTTTACAAATATGATTTATGTGATTTTATCTAAATTACATCTTATAAATTGTGATTTCCTCGTCTTTTGAGAATGAGGCTTGGATGTTGTTGTTGTATGTCTTATAATTTGCATGAAATTTCTGTTAAATTATCTTAATCATTCAAGCTAATGAAAAAACTTATAAATTGCGTGTGTTTTCTGTGCAGCTTTAGCCAATTTGCATCCCCCTTGTCTGAAAAGATTGCTCCTACCCCAACTGCTAAAACAGTTGTTTATCAAGAGTATTGAGATATATGGTCTCCTAGAATCCAATTCGTTTCAACTATACAATCATTTTCACAGTTTACACAAGATATATGCATTACACACAAACAAGAGTATTTGCGTTTTCCCTTGACCTCCAAATCCAGAGAAAACTTATTCCTACAAATTTGGGGATAGTTTCCTCTTTTTTTTTTTTTTTCCTTTTCTGAGTGGCGCTTTAAGATGCCAAGGGAGCATTAACTGATCATTTTCCACCATAAAACCCTTTCCACCCACAAATTAATGCCACATAGTCATATTATACTACTACATTCATCTTGTTCTTAGAAAAAAATCTTTCTTTCGTAGTATGTATGGAGAAACCTAATTCGACACCTAAAAATAATGGAGGCAGTAAAACTTGATTTTGTTGTAAGCAACACTATCTGGGCTGAGATTTTTTTTCATTCTTAGGTACAATGCTTGCATTTGCCCTGGGAATCTGCAGCTGAAAGTGGTCTTCAACAGATCAACCCGGATATAGTGTGAGCATATTCACTATTCCCCAGACTATTTCGTGTTTCAGAGAAGTGTTTCTTGACTTTGTCTCTGTATAGTGTGGGTGCAGATGTTATTTATGATCCATTGTGTCTGCCACACCTTATTCGAGTCCTGGTCATTCTTCTTAGCCAAGAAGGTTTACAACCTGATGATAGCAGTAATGATGGATCTTTGGGTAAATCAACACGAAATAATGAGCAGAATGATGCAAATTTGCAGAATGGACTCCCAAGGTTGCCTGTTGCTTATATTGCTTCCGTGGTTCGTAATATCGACACATTTAATTGTTTTCTTACCTTAGCCGATGAAGCAAATCTGTCTGTGTTAGACATTACTGAGAGGGCAAAACCATTTGACTTGCTTCCTTATGCAAAGTCCTACCAACAGTCTAGCATAAGGATGCTATGTGTTTCCTATTTGAGCAAGTGAAGGAGGCCGTCTTGGGGTACTTCTGAGCATTTCTGAGTTGTAACAATTCAATGCTAAGTTTTAGGCGCAATGAATTTTCTTTCCTTAAGAGTGCTGTTATTTACACCTGTACTTTTTTACTAAATATATAGAGTGTGTTGGTGGCGCTTACTTAGCACAGATCTCGAACACCTAAAACTTAGGTGAGATGCATTTGGCAAGAATGGGCTGAGCTCCTCCAAAGTTCAACCCCCCCCCCCAAAGAAAGGATAAAATGTGTTTGGTCAAAGAATAATACTACCGATAGTTGGCACCTAAGAAAGTAAGAAGCATGGAAACTTCACGTGGACACATGTTTCCCTGTTTAGGAAACTATGAAACTTTGAATTTCATTTTTTTAGAGCTGCTTCTGTAATTAAAATGATTTGGGAAGCATGTTTCCTTAATTAATTCGCGTTTTAGAAAGATTGAGATTCCAATTTTTTCATCTTCACAAGGTTTTTAATGGAAATTTTCTATGGTTAAGTTGTAATGAATTTTTATGATTAATGTGATATACTTTATAATGCAATGCATTGTTAGAAAAGTATTGCAATTTATGTTGATTTTGTACTAACTAATTCTAAATTGGATACTAACAAAGTTATTTGAAAAAATATGTAAATATTTACATATGAAAAAACATGTAAACGCAAATATTCTCCCCCAGTCCCCCATATGCTGTATTCTATTTTGTTTTTAATTTTTAATTATGTTTCTCGCATTTTGTGCACTCACTACACACAAGTTAAAATGTTTGGGTTCAACTCTTCTCCATTTGTCTTCTCTATTTCTTATTTTCTTTTTATCTCTCTACCTTTTTCTCTATCTTACGCATTCATATACCCCACCCAAAATTTCTTCTTCTCTATCTCTCTCCAATTGGAACTAGGGCTGTTAACGAGCCGAGCCGAGCCTGAACACCTAAAGCTCGACTTCGGCTCGATAAGGAATTAATGGTGTTCGGGTTCGAGCTCGAAGCTCGACAAGCTTTACAAATGAGGTTCGTGTTCGGCTCGATAGGCGTTTGATGTTCGAATCGAGCGCTCGATAAGCTCGATAAATATGGTCGAATTTAAAATTTTAGGTGATGCTCGTTAATAGGCTCGTGCTCGAATGATTCGACAAGTATTCGGTTCGTTAATAAACATATTTAAATTCATAAATTCATACTAATTATATTTAAATTTTGATTATATATAAATTATATTTATAATTTCTCGGTGTTCGATAGGCTCGAGTTCGAACCGAGCCGAATACTACTATGTTCGAGCTCGGCTCGATTAATTTTTCGAACTTAAAACTCAGCTCGAGTTCGAAATCTCGTTAAGCTCGGCTCGTTAGGTTCAAAATCGAGCTCGAGCTCGAATAGTTCGATAAAAGCTCGGTTCGTTAACAGCTCTAATTGGAACTCTCTCGTTACTAGGGAGGATCCAAATTCAAAATGTTCTCCCCGTACTTCGTATGTACATTTTTTGTGCTACACATGTTTATTTTTTCTTTTTTGACTCCTTTCTAAATTTTTCTATTTTTTTTCATATTTTCTTTCTTACCTTTTCTTTATTGTTCATATTTTTCCACGTTATCTTCTTCTATTTCCTATTTTCCCTCTCTCCTTTTTATATCTTTTCCACATCAATTATTATTGTAGAATATGTACGTAGTACTCGCTCCATCCCAAAATGATACTCCCTCCGTCCCACTATGATTGTCTCATTTTACCTTTTCGGTCCGTCCCACTAAGATTGTCTCATATCTTATTTGGTAAAGTTTGTGTGGTTCTAAATCATTCATACTTTATTCTTACTTTATCAATTCAATATCAACCACATAAATCCACTTTTATTAATAATCGTGCCACCTTCTCTTGTCCCAAACTTAGGGGGGCGGAGGTAGTAGTCCTTTATTTTTCCTTTTTGGGATGTCCCAAAATGATGGTCTTGTTTCCTTTTTTTATAAAGAAATAAAAGTGGATTACCATTTATGTCCCTCCTTTTTAATGAACAGTAAAAATAAAAGGATGAACAGTACAATAAAGTACGGTTTTTTAGTCTTTCTATCACATTTTCTTAATCTTTGTGCCCAAAAGAAACAAGATCATCAAATTGGGACAGAGGGAGTATTTTTTTTTTTTTTGCAAGGGAGTACTATTTTTCTTAATCTCCATAAAATACCTATTGTGGAACAATGAGAGACTAAAAGATGCAAATTATAGTATACTAATATAATTGTGGAACAATTATGGGTGCATTGTTCTTCTTTGTTTGGCCACAAAAACCGTTTCTTTAAAAAAAATTAATCTATGATTCGTACTATGTCTATCACTGTAATACTTTGATTCAAACTTCTTTATATTTTGTACTAAGTCAAGTATGGAGTGACACACTAAAAGAGTAAAAAGGAGATTGTCACTGTTTTATGGTAAAAAGTAAAATGTCCTAGACACGTTTTTAATAATATCTATTATTGCCACATTGGTGTTTTGGTAGAACTGATTGCTTCAATAACGCCCTTTCTTAACTTTACCTAGATTACACACACCGAAGGTTGAAGCTTGCCACTCGTGGAAGCAATTTCTAATATTTGCTTTGTGTAGAGGAAATGGAACTCTGGTCCCAGGTTTCTTCACATATCCTTCTCATAGTACAACTGATAGCTTGTTAGAAATAAATGTCATTTTTGACTCATAATGTATCAAATCAAAAGTATTTCAATACCACTCTAACGTACCTAAAGTATTTCATACATATACATTAGTATATGTATTGTATACATATACATAACTAATGTATATGTATGCATTGTTTTTATTTATACTCCCTTCGTCCCGTTGTAGATTGCAATTTTGAACATGGAAATCAAATAAAGAAGTAAAATTTGTTTGGTTGAGATTTGTAAAGAGTAAGAGAAATAAAAATGAAAAAAAATTAAATAGAAAGTAGCGATGTTTTTACTTATGGAAGCAAAAAGGCAAAGTTAGAAAAGTTTAATGGGAAATAAGAGTTACATATGAGGTAGCTTTTTTTTGCTCTACGCTTAGCCCATTATAATACGAGTTACCTTCTATCATAAATGTCATCATCACACTACAAGATACTGCGTTCTCCCTCATTCCCAAAATGATGATCTTGTATTTCCTTTTTGAGATGTCCTAAAATGATGGTCTTGTTTCCCTTTTTGGTAAAGAACTAAAAGTGTATTACCATTTATACCTCTCCTTTTTAATGAACAATAAAAGTAAAAGGATGAACAATCAGCGGCGGACGCAGGATTTGCCGATAGCAGGGGCGGCAGTACAAGAATATACATACAAATACATATACATTAAAAATTTCGGGGTAAATATACCTAGAATTTTTTTTCGGCGGAGGGGCGGCAGCCCCCCATGTGTGTCCGCCACTGTGAACAATACAATAAAGTAAGATTCTTTAGTCTTTCTACCACGCATTCTTAATCTTTGTGCCCAAAAGAAACAAGACCATCAAATTGGGATGAATGAAGTATATTTTATCATATACCACGTATCATGTAACCTTTAAAATCATAAAACTAAAAAGTTGGCAAAACACAACCACCACCTTGCATGGTGATTTTCTGGTCGCTTCAATGTTAAGATCAATGAATTAGTCATACATACTTTTTAGGATAATGTTCCAAATAAAAACATGCTACCTATTAAGTATCAAATATATTAGTCTAATAGTTGTCCATTGAAGTTAAAATGCATTCACCTCATCTGTTTACTTTTTTAAAATCTAGTTTCACTTGGTAAAACTTCATAAAGCCTTAAGTAATCCAATTTTTAATATGTACTTTTAAGTTCTATTAATAAATGGAGTAATATGTATTTTAATATTTATCATGAAAATCAACTGCATTTACATGGACTAATCTAATAATTATCCAAACAACATTTCATATATGCACCTAGAATCATCCAAATTTTACAAAACTTAAGCTCACAAGATAAACTTAAGTTAACTTTATCAAGCGAAATATAAGAACGACCCCTTCTAGTTCAAGACTTGTTTGATTCCCCAAATGGTGTGACCTTAACCGCATCCAAACTAGTTATCCCACAAGCTCCAGTTCCCAACTGGATTTTTGAAAGGAAATAAGCACAGACAGTTCAAATCCTAACTGGAACCGACCTGTCCAGTCCAATTATAGAATAGCTAGAACAATATATGGCTAGTCATGAGATTCAGGGTAAAAATTTGAGGTCTCTGCCAAGAACCGGGACCGTGTCCACCCCGTGAACGACAATAAGTTGAAATGTTTGTTGTTGTCCTGACCGCAAAATTGATAGGATAACCATCAGGAAACATGTCGTTTAATTTGACTGATAGTATGTTGAAAACTGTCCTTATCATTCTGTTTACATTATAATGCAAAGAATGGACTAATCATAGGAGCCATTATGCTGGCAGCCTGGCAAGGATATAAAAGCAACAGTACACTGCACGCTATGGTCTTTCCCACATCCTTAATTCTTAAACAACTTTAGGCACACTCAAAACCTCACCAGACTAAAATGACTACTATTTATAATGGCTATAAAGCCTATAGAAACAGACATATTTAATAGCTTCAATAAAACATTATAAATGGCTTCAATAGCTCCTGCAGCCGTTCTTCAAGTTCTTGCACTGTTCTTGATTGGTTTCCTCAATGCCAATGCCAATGCCATTGACTTCAATTACCCCGCAGTTTTCAACTTTGGGGATTCGAACTCCGATACGGGAGAGCTTGTTGCAGGGGTTGGCGACCGCCTTGACCCTCCAAATGGACATGTTTACTTCAAGAAACCCTCTGGGAGATTTTGCGATGGACGGTTGATCATTGACTTTCTATGTGAGTGCATTTTGCAAAATTTGGTGTTTACCCCCCAAAGCATCCCAACCGAGTCCATTTCTATTTTTAACTTAATAACTGACTTTGTACCCGACACTAGGTGAAAGTCAAAGTTTGAGGAAAACAAGATGAACTTACCAAATTTCTATAATTTTTTAGATGTTTTGAATCTGATTGATGAAATTAGTGGTGCCTGTCAAATCCAATATGAGGTCTCACTATCATGCGTCTCCAATAGTATTTCTTTTTCCCTGCAAAATATAGTGAGCACGCCAACCCAACGTGCTCACTACGGAGCACATTGGTGTGATGAGTGTTGTAGATTCTTCTATTCTTTAAGATGGGAGAATCTTCATCATTCATCACGTCAACGTGCTTCTACAGAGTACATTGACATACTAAATTTACTTATCGTTTCTCTCATAAGCAAAATTGGTCCGAATCTGGGGATCGTGAAGGGGGTCCACATAAACTTGTGTGTTGCTTTTTACGTTTTGGCATCTAGTTTTCTTGACAATAATTCTCAACAATTTTCTCCTCATTGGCCTGTGTGTATTAAACATAGTAACTGTTTACCATAATTGACTTTAATGTTAGCAGTGGACGCAATGGATCTGCCATTGTTGAACCCCTATTTGGATTCCATTGGCATGCCAACTTTCAAAAAAGGATGCAACTTTGC